CCTCTTCTTTCGCCCACTGACACACACAGACACAAATTATTTTGCTTTTTCAAAAGGCACTTTTTCATTGCTTCTACTCTGTCTGCGTATCACCTATCCTCAACCGTTGCCTCATACGTTTTTCTCCATCTCTCTTTTGTGAGAGGGCTGACAGTTAATTGGGAGTGTGTTTTAATGAGCTGGCCCTGAGATTTTATCTTCTCCTTTCATTAGGAAGGGAAGACAGGGGCGAGCGTGTCAAGGAAGTGAAGGAAGAGGGAGAGAGAGTAAAGGAGGCAAGGAATGAAACGAGAGGGAAAAAAGTCATTGAATAGAGAACATCGAGAAGTTTTTAGTAAGTGCTGTGGAGAGCTCTGTGCGTGTTTGTTTATTTGTTAATGAGCTAATCAATAGCAGAGGTGTGTAAGCCCAGCAGTGGGTCTGCTTTGGGAGATTACTTACAAAGATGCACAACTTGGAAGACTTGTCTATCTACAATGTTCTTCTCTTATTTTTAAACTGGCCTGACTAGACTGAAGTTGCTCATCTCAGGTTTCTCAGGCACAAGTCAGGACAATATAAACCTCAATCTCAGTGTGAATCACATTGTGTCAAATCTACCATTTTATTTAAGCAACTGCACAGTTTGATTGTATAAAACAAAAATAAATAACTGTTTTTACATAAAATTCTATTTCTAATACCATAGAGGAAATGAATACAGAAAAATCTACAGCAAGATTTGCAGCAAGGTGAAAAGTGTTTATGCATAAATAAACAACCCTTTCCAGTCTTTTTTTTTTTGTTTTTTTAACTTATGGGCTTATGTGAACTCTTAAATTCACAAATGTTAATATAACACTAATTCAGCATCTTCTCCTTGAAGCTTCATGAAGAAAAATGCTAAAATAAGTGAATCACTCACATTCCTAAGGTGTTTATCTCTCTGATTAGCAGAGCCTCATAAATATCTAATCACTGATGCTAATCAGATTGCTCACCTAGGGGTGAGCTAAAAATATAAAGCACATGCACAAGCTACACTAAGCCCCCCCCCCAAAAAAAACTACCCTTTTCCTAGGTAAATAATGGCTTTAACAAATCTAATGTAACATTAGTCCATTATTGATCAACCAACAACAGTTCTGCATAAACTCTGGGCAATGAGGATGATAATCACTGTTTCTTGTTGGCGGCACTAAAAGAATCACACAGTTACAGTCAGTTCTGATGCCTGCAGCTTTGATCTCCTTCCACTTTAAGGCTGGCTGTTAAAATAATTACACAGTCAGGCTTCAGACTATTCGGTAAAACTGATCAAAAACAGCAGCATTTTGGTGCCAACATAATGACATTCCCTTTGACTTTGAAGTATATCGTGCAAACATATCAAAACAATTGACATCAAATGCTGGACAGGTCTATAACTATTATAGATGATAATATAACAATTGTACCACAGCACATCAAACCTATCATTTTATTAATGCAGACCTTTACCACGAAAACCACACAAGTAATTTCCTAATCTCAAGGCAGACTCCAAGTCAATAAACCTTTTATTTTCTTTTTTTTTAGGTAAATTGTAAAGTTCAGCTGGTTATGGCTGGATATTTAGATTTATAGTCAATTTTTACGTTTTGGTTTAAATGAAGTTTGTAAATTATTAAAGCAGACCCTATAAAACGTTTTTATATCAGATGATTTTATGTCAATCTTGGTCACCACCACAGACACGTAGTGGACCAAACTTTACTCTTTTCATTCCCCCGTGTTTTTTTTGGGGGGGATAAATATCATGATCAGCACAGACACATATTTATATTCCTCGGTCAACTGCATAAAATGAAGGCTCTGCTCTGTATTTACCTGTTGCCATGGTGAAATGTGGTGAAACTAAGATTGAACATGCTCAAGGTTGATTGAACTTACTCTGATCAGGAAACAGAGTTGTGTTTGTTGAACATGCCTTCTGGAACAGGATCCAGGTCTTATTTGGGATCAAAGTGAGAGTCATTAGGCTGTTAACTGCTGTCATTTAGAGCCACAGTAGTTTCTCAGATTTCCTTCTCACACATAAGTGGGGAGCTGACAGGAGACAGCTTAAGTGAAACAATGTTTAATCAGACAGACAACAACACATTATGTTACGGTAGCTGTGTAACACTGGGCCAACGTCCTACCTTCTTTGAAAAGGTCTCCGATGGAACATAAAGGAAGTGGAAGTAAACAAACGAGCGAAAGAAAGCACCATCACCACTGGATCATTTCACTCATGACAACTCACTTTTTCCCCAGTTTGCACTTAAACAAACATAACATAAACCTACAAACAGGAGCTGTCAGTGTAGCAGTGGGAAATGCTTCTAAACTGCCCTCCCTTTGCTGTTAGCTACCTCCATGTTACATTAGCTCTACCGCTAGCTGCTGATGCTGTCCCGTGGCCAAGTAAACACAGAACATAAACTGAACTGGACTAAACTGGCTCATTGTCACCGATATTCAATCTGGCTATTTAATCCACTCAGCATTGTGGGTCAGTATTGGACTGATATCCAGTCCAAGTATTGGCTCGGTGAATCCCTACCATAAAACAAAACAAAAAAACCCAACACAAAACAAACAAAAAAAAAAAACCCCAATAAAAAGATGTTTCTCAGTGTTTATCAACTATTATTTCTTGAAATTACACACTCTTGGCCTGACTCGATGGCAGATAAATACAAACCCTACAGCCATGCAACTTGGATGGCATTCATCCCGAATCCTATGAGGAAATAATGGCTAAATTTTCAATGTCATGATGAAGTAAAATGAGTCTAAAGAAGCTTGATCTGAACAACAGTATATATGTTGTCCCTGTATCATCAAATCATTTTTCTGTTCCACATGATAGCCATACATCAGACATCAACCACAAACTAGAGCATTTGGATTTTAGGGAAATACAGAAAAAATAAGTTTTGAATATCAAAAACATGTAAGCATATTCTAGTAGAACCAAAACATAAAACTGTGACCCTGTAAATGAGCAACATGTAGCCTCATTAAAACACCAAACTACAGTAAGGTTACAGGGCTGACAAACAATGAAAATACATTTTAATGAGTGTGACATACAGTAATGAATGCATGAGACAAGAGCGAGGGCAGGGGAACGTGACTACTGCAGGTTAAACAGCTTACGCTATAGGAGGGGGATTTGGGTGCCTCTTCTAGAGGGGGATATTAGCAGGATTATCTGGCAACCCTGTTGCTGAGGTGAATAACATTAGAATCCTATTTGTAAAGACTTCTATGCTTCCTGTCCCAAATCCCCCCATTTTATCTCCCTTCTCTCTTGCTTCATAGTACAATTAGTCCACTTTACATTCTCATACCCCAGATTAAAGTCATACGCATGCTTAAAAAGCAGAATATATACACATACTGTATTTATGTGTCCTACTGTGTATCCTCTTTAAAACATGAATGTCACTGTGTGTTTATGTGTGTATGCGTGTTTTGATTTTTGTATTCCAATAATAGTACAGGCCTTTCTGCTCCCATAAGCCACTAAGTGTTTGTCATATACACTCGCAATGGTGCATACTTTGAATACTAATACAGAGGGTGTTAGCATTCGTTTTGGGTATGCATGTGTGGCTTTGTACATCTGTATGCACGTGCAGCCAGCAGTGGGAGGGTGAGGTGGTAGCAAGTGCTGTGCGGTGTGACAGAGTGTTGAGATTGGAACGAGTATGTGTGCATTTGAGTGTGACAGTGCGCGCCATGAGGGCATTCTGACTGTGTGTGGGTCTGTATATGTGTGTGTTTTATGGACACACTCTGAGGTTAATAAATATTGACAGTGAATTATCTCTTCTGGCAGAGTCGCAGGTGGTTTCGATGGAGCAGACCGGACAGAAATCAAAAGAAAAACAAAAAAAAGTGCATGTGCACGTTTACACACCGCTCCTATTTTATATTTTTCCTTTTTCAGCTATTCTTAATTTCAGCAGAATTCTCGAGAGTCCTTGAGCAAGGCACCGATGACCAGTCGCAATAAACTAGCATGTGACGGCAATAATTACCTGCCAAGATAATAAAGCTGCCCCTCTGCCACCTTGCCATTACGGATTCTCCAGGGTTTCTGCTCTAGCTAGGGGCCGCCATCAGAACACGACAGCCGCAGCAACATGGAAATTAGCTAATGCTACACAATTGGGCTACAGAGAGAAAGAGAGACAGACTGAGCAATAAGCAGAGGTAAAAACAAAAGTCCAGGATGGAAAGATGAGAGGAAAGTAAAAAAGTAAAAAAAAAAAAAAAAAAAAAAAGCTGTGAAGAGAGCATAACTCTGGATTTTTCTCTGTAAAGCTTAAAAAAAGTGCTTTCTAAAAAGCTAAGGGATAATGACAAATTCAGCTTTTATTTAGCCCATTCAATAAGCGAGTGGTGATTGATTAATGTAAAACCCACCCTGTGACACTGCCCAGTCATCACTCTCTTCTTCTCTTCCACACAGACGCTGCTAGTCTCCCACACATACAAATTTAAACCACAAAGCAAAGAGTCTCTGTTGGCATAGTGCTCGTCTCGCTGCATCGCTAAGCCGATGCACAATGTGGCAAAGTGATGCGGCACCTTGCAAGGTCAAATCTAAACTTCCCGAGGCCCTTTTTTTTTTTTTTAAAGAGCTCCCTGGGACAGATATCAACACTTACACAGATGCCATAGCCTGTAGGAGTTTTGCTGACAGTGTGCCCATTTTAACTTCACGCTGCTGTTTAATGATGCACACTATCTGTGGCTAAAAGCTACATGTTTCCATATCTGATCAGTTTAGGTCTGTATATAAAGAAGGATGTAAAATAACACAACCCCCCAAAAAAACATGTTACTTGTACGCAAGGCTGGATTATAAGTGTATGTATAAATTTCAGGTCGTGTTTCAACTTCTAATTATTGTTCTTATTTATTTAAATTTAAAATCTTGTGACATTTGATGGCATCCCCAACCTTAGATGAACTCTTCATACCTTTTTGAAGAGCAAGGAGTCATCCATGTGCTCCGCGTAGACAGACGTGAGCCGGTATTGGTTCTCAGTGGTTATATCGATCTGGTAGCCGGTCAGGACGTAGCACACTGTGCGAAACTCCTGTATTTTTCTCTGAAACACCTCTTTAAGTCTCTGGTTCCTCAGCTCTGAACTCTCCATTTGTTTACGCAAATCTGCAACACACAAATCAGTTATATAGCATGGTTATTTTGATAGCATAGTTATATGCTATCAATATGTAGAGTTTCTGGAATAACTCCAGCAACTTAAATTAGCATCTCAAAGACTTGATATTATTAGATAGCAAAGCCATAAAAATAAAGATTTAGTAAAATTTAAATAAACCTGGATTCTGAACGCACAAGCAAAGAAAAAGACTACAAGTGGGAGACAAAAGCTCGAGCCAGGGTGGAGAATCAGATAAAGAGTCCAGTGGAGAGTCTAGCATGGAAGTACTTAACATTTGAGGGCGATGACCAGGGGGTGATAACTGATTCCCAAAAGGCAATATTTAAATCATTTCCATTTTTGCTTTTCAGACCAAGAGAGGAAGACCTGCAATTAAATCTGCAAATGCCTTTCAATTTAACATCCATGAACATTCAGAGTATCAGAGTATTATCCTTCTTATGGTATAGAGCACAAATACATTACTATTTAGCTTGAGATGGATGGAATGAAATCAGCGATGAACCATAGGCTAAAATATTAGCAATGCCTAATGTTGCATAAATATTTAATTACATTAATCATCCAAACACTGCTGCCTGTCTCCCATCAATGATATATAATTTTACCATTTTAAAGTTTCCCACTTAGTTAAAATAACTTTTTATTAAAGAGTTTATGGCGTTTATGTTTAGCAACATAAACTGGTATCAAACTGGGTGTAGAGAATCGTGTACTCATCTACTGTTTTTGGTACCAACTACTAAATATCGTGACACCCCTAGATACCAGCATCAAAAAGTTGTGAATGATATCAATCTCTACCCCACAGCAATCCATCTGCTCACTCAGGTCTACATACTACAGTAAAGCAGAGCACGGTGGCGTCTGAAGCAGTCAGCTGCATCTCCTAGCTGGGAGCAGAGATAATCATGAAGGGGAGAAACAGAATGGGGCTCGACTTTAATTTGTTGAAAATCAATTTGGGATAATTACTTTAATTTGGAGACTTGATTTGAGAAGTCAGAGAAATTAGTTTGTCTGAGGAAAAAATGAGTCGCTGTGGAGGTAATTATTTACAATGTGATCACCACAGAAGAGAAAGTTAAAAAGGATATAGATGCAAATGTGGAGCCATGAATATTTTGTAAGTACACAAGTGGTAAAAGGAGAGCTGGGAAAGGAACAACCACAAAGAGGCAAATATTTACTTTTTATAGATATTTGTGCCAATCTTCTCAACACTGTGATGTATGCAAATCTGAGAAAATCTAAAAACCAAACAAACCAAAAAAACCCGAGAGCAGGCAGGAGCACCGTAAAGACTATTAACCAAAAAAACCCAAAACACATGGATGAGGGAGATGATGTAACCAGGCAAAGAAAATGCTTACCTAACGCCTCTGAAAAGCTTGGTGTTTGCTACTGATTTTTTTAAAGGTTAAAAGCATTTCTGCTGCTCAAATGTGAACCTACATTGTTCAGGGTTATACCTTACTTAACAACCAGTCCTTTTCACTTTTTCCCTCTCTCTCTACAGTCAGCATCAGTCAGTCAAAACTCTCTATTCTCTAATACCATAATGCGTCGTTTCAAGAGCAGTCAGGGAGTTTTTATTCCCATAACTTCTAACCCTGCTGCGACTGATAATTATTTCTACTCATCATTCTCCTCTTCATAGCGTATAGCTTGGCCGATTACATTTTTATCTGTCATTATTAAACAAGTGAATGACTAGAAAGTATAAACTCAAGAGTCTGGGACTGAGCCTGCCAGTGAGTGTCTACGTGCCTGTCTGTCTCCTGGGTGACTGGGCTCCTCTCAAGTGTCAGTCACCGCGGTTAAATACTGTTTCAAGACTTCAGAAATGTGACAAAACTGTCACTTTATGACAGCCATCAGAATGCCCTGAAAATGGTTGGGAATTCTCAGGCTGCAGCAACCAATACATTTCCTTCTCCGTGCAGACAAGTGGACACACAGGAATGTGGACATGTCGTTATCTGTGCAATCGCAAAGACAAACACGTACAAGTGGGCACACAAATGTGTCAACGTACGTGTTGAGTTACTAAATCCGAGTATTAGTTAGGATACTTTTCACACAAACTTTTACAGTTTTGGTGACTTCTGTATTTCAGTCTTGATTGGTGTCTACAGGTCTGTGTACATAATGGCTCAAAAGCTGTCAGCTGCATAGGGAGCGTTTTATTTATATATTTTCTTCTCTCATTTTCAGTCTAAAATACTGCTAAAATTTGCACTCGTATCAGAAGCAAAAACAAACAAACAAAAACTAAACTAAACTGTAGTGTCCCAAAATATCTGCAAAAGTCTTGAGCCACCCCTCACATCATTATATAAGGGAAATGGGAAATAGGAGCAGCGATTTACTGAAAAGTGCAAACATGCATAATCAATATTTAGTACGACTATTTTTATTCTTACTCTTCAACACAGCCTGAACTCTCTTAGTCAAGCTTTCTTGTCATTTCTTTAAGTAGTCTTCAGGAATATTTCCCCAGGCTTCTTGAAGGACTGTTCTCTGTCAGGATGATCCCACACTGCTTCAATAATGTAGGAGTTGTGGCCTCTGGGGAGGCCCATCCATGACTGATAGTGTTCCACTGTGTGTTTTTCTATTCAGGATCATCATCATGCTGCAAAGTTGTCCAGTTGCCCACTTGTATAATTTGCCATACGTCAGCCTTTACTACCTTTTCTAAAGACGTGGCTTTCAGATAATGATACTTTTATGCCGGCCACTTCTTCTGGCCTCCACTTGTTTTTTGCTGAGATAAGTTTTCAGCTAATAATTTTTGAGAATCATAAAAAAAATTATATTTTACACCTCTCAAACTGTAATATTTAAAGTTTTCATAGATTTGAAATAAAATGTAAAAAAAATCTCTGCACACATGAACCAAGAGAAGCGTTCCACAACAATTAAAATGCAACTCGTACATACTGTCTCGATAATCACTACGACACTTATTAAATCACAATGTTTCAGTCTGGCTGACTTGATAAAGGTACCTGATGAAGCTAAGTGAGACAGTGTGCGGAGGTTATATTTAAACTGTTATAGATTTTCATTAAGAAATGGGTACAAATAATGCGTTTTGCGACAGGCTGCTAATAAAGTAAATTTAAAACTGCTTCTTTGCAAAGTTATCTGATTTACCCCTCAAGTTAGGTGCCTTTTTAATGCTTTAATGATTCATAGTTAGTGTTAAGTGGCTTAAGAAACCAAAAAGAAACAAACTAAAAAAACATTCATCTGAAATTGTACGAGGACTGGACTGAAAATGAATAAAAAAGCATCCGAAGTCCAAAGAAAAACTTTGAAAGACCTATAAAGACCTAGAACTACTGCTCAAGACAACTTATAAAAAAGATGATGATGATTATTTATTATTATTATTATCATCATCATCATCATCATCATCATCATCATCATCATCAAAGTTTATTTCCCAGCTAACATGTATTTAATGAAATAATAATTTGTAACAGCAAGAGTAAAAAGTTAAAGAAAAAGCCCTGATTTGTTTTTAATTCTAAACTTACTTTTAAATTTTGTCATCACAATTGTCCAGTATTAATGTGTGAAAAATGCAAAAATGTGGAAACTCATCATCAACACCCACGGCAGAACTAATAACCGCTGGTGTATAAAACTTACTAATTAAATGTAATTAAAAATGGAAAACATTTTCTACCTGCTGCTAATTGCTACATGAAGTATTGTTCCTGTAATGTTGCTTAGGTAATTTCTTAACTGAACACACAAAGCTTATAGTGAAGTTGAACCACTACAGACAGCAGGGTAAAGACACACACTACATGAGGTAAAATGTCGTTAAATAATTTTAATTATTTGATCTCTGATAAGTTTGTAGACTTTCTATTGCACTGACCCAGGTCTTGCAATAAGGACAGATATCACACACTAGGTCTGCTTTATCTACACAGAGTTCAAATTGAACTTACTTGTTACAAACTCAATTTTCATATCATAAGAAATTAAAAGGCAGAGAAGCGAACATGTCAGGAACAGGAGAAGATGACAGAAAAGACAAGAGTGAAAGATGAGAAAAAAATAAGAAGGCTGGGAGTTGGAAAAAAGAAGTGCCAAGAAAATTGAGACCGTGAGCGAGCAGCAGGCAGACAGAGAGAGCACCGAGTGCTGTGCACAAATTGGCCAACAGACTTTTACCAGTGAACTGTCCTGAGCTCCAAATGCATATTTAACCCTGTCATAACTGCACGTCCTCCCTCTAACAGTCTGTCATATAGACACTTAAGACGACAGAGACTTTCTGAGCCAAAATATCAATGAAACAGTTCCCAAGAGCAACATGTTCCTTTAGAAAGCAGCAACTGTTGGGTATGGCTTTTCTCTTTTTTTGCCATTTCATATTTTTTGGATCAGTCTACATGTAAAGAGGACCTTTAACAACCTTTAAAATCTGTACTTTTTATGTTGTCTAAATATCCAGTTCCCCTCTAATGTTAACTATAACATTATATAACAATATAATTAAAAAGAGAAGATCTAGTCATCAGATCAGAAAAGCTTCATCCATGGATCAAACCCTCCCTTGGCCCCTTATCCATTCATCTAACATCAGCTATCCGAAACCTGGATCTGCATTTTCACTCTAATTTCACCTTAAAATATATAAACAAGGTCATCCAGTCCATCTCCTACCACCTAAGGAATATTGTGAGGATATGAATAATACTGACTTCTAGTGACACCCATGCTATCAGTCATGCTCTTATTATCTCTCAGATTACTGTAATTGTCTTTTAACAGCCATCAATCATATTATTCCACTCTTAATGATGGTATACTGGCTGCCTTTGACTTATTACTTTTTTAAGCCCCGTTTGCTGTTGAATGACATTATAGCTCACTCTTATTCTGATGTCACACTGCTGTGTCATCTTACCCAACACTTCCTTTGAAGGAGCCAAACTAAGGCTGAAGCTGGGGTTGTGCGTGTCATCCTGGGAATGCCCCACAGCACCTCCACTCTGCAAAGAGCGTACAAGATCCCTGAGCCGTGTCACTTCTTGCCGGAGAGCCTCCACTTCCTGCTGGCGCTCTTGTTTGGCAATGGCGGTGGGGTTCACTTTGAGGTGGAGAACACGGGTTTTGACTGGATCGTAGTCTCCCTGAGACACAGAGACACAGATCAAACTGCCATCAGTTATAGAGCAGAACATTTTTTTATGCACCATCTCATCTTAGCATCCAGGGCGCCTCACATTCCTCACTCACAGCAGTGATCATCACGCTTCAGTTCACCTCGCTGTTGCCAACTCAATAACTCTGTCAGATTTAGTGACTTTTCATATTCTTTTACAGAGTGCTTTTCCCTTGAAAAATAAGAATGCCTTGTGACAAATGCAGCAGTGTAATGACCAAAGAGTGGAAAGTTGTACTCCCCTGCCTGAGTCTCTTCTCTGTTCGATGAGTGCCCTAGATGAGCAGGCAGCAGCACCCATGAAAAATCTGATTCCTTAAAAATGACTGCCTTTAAGGAACCCGGTGTACTTCCACGGTCATGATCAGCTTTGTAGCTTTGATAAACGAAAACTGGCAGCAATAGCTCTATTAATGCCAAAGAGTTACCACACCAAATATTCACTTAATTTAGCTGAGCCACAATATCAATGATTTCTATCATTAACTTCTTTGTGATAACAAAAATACTGACAGCAACAAGTAAATAACAATAAGAAATTAAAATAAACGGAGAGAATACAAAATATACATTGTGAGAATACAGAATACATTGTGCGCTGTTGGTCCTGCGTGCCGCACAACAACATTCAATATTTAGTATTTACTGCTGTTTACACTTAGCTAGATTAATGCGATGGTGTTGTGTTTAGTATGCTGCTTTGTTTTTTTGCTTGTTTTCTCTTCTTTCTCTCTCAACAGGTGATCCAGGAGATTTTTTTTAAGTGCCCTTCCTCACTGTCCCTCTTCCCTTCTGATTTTCTTTTCCTTCATCTTTCTTTCTCCCTTTTCTATCCCTCAGTCATGTCTGTCCCGTCTGTAACAACTGAAAATAAAATAAAATAAATAATAACAACAAAGGTCGATCAAATGGACCAATACGGCAAGGCCGTGATGATCCATTTGGCAAAGTAAATCCATTGGGTATCCTTGTTGGTCTTCAGACAACAATTCTGACGGCTAAAGAACCAAATGGGACAGGAAAAAAAAAGAGAATACAAAATATAACCAGCAAGTTGCAAAAGAGGCCAAACAAAACAGAAGACGAAAAGTCCGAAATATTTAATGTACAATAATGATCCTACTGTAGTTTTAAATACTGATCCTATGAAAACTACATTAATTAAAAGACTTTTACTCGGCTCTCATCTTGGGATATCAGATCAGGTCATTACAGTTTTACACTCATTGTAATTATAATGTTCCACACATGTTCTAACATGCAGAAACACCCCAAAACATTATGAAGCCAAAAGTCTTTGAACGTCAAAGTCTTTCAAAGTCTTTGAACACTATACTGACGCCATCATGTGATTTGAAAATGTCTTGTTATAAAAGGTTACTGCTAATGAACTTTTCTCAAGTTCCTGGCAAAAATGAGCCTTTCAGATGGGGTTGCTACTCAAGTAAGCACAATTTGTCCATGTATAATTAAGCTAGTGAGGCTGTGTTATGTTGCTCACCCTTGCCAAATACATGTATTTAATGCTTGAGTGAAACACACAAATCCTAACTGAACAAGTTAAAAACATTTTACTATACAATGCTGGTAATGTTCCTTTGGTGTGAGACCAACATATGCAAGAAAAACCCTCCAAACCTTTTATAACCAATTTCAGTTGCTATACATGGAGAGAAATGGTTACAACTGATCTCACATTACAAATTGGGAGAGGAGGTTAGCATAAACAAAAATACTCGACAGTGTGATCGAAAGCTCTTGATGTTCATGTGAGCTTTTCCTATAAGGAAATAATGTTTTCAGTTATATCAAACAGACACATTAAAGAGAAAGTATTCTTTCCCAGTGTTTTCTTCTCACTCTGCAAGGTCTGGCTAAATAAAAGTCGCTTAATGCCAATATAAGGAGAGAAACACTCAAACAGGAACGCTCACAACATGTACACACCCCTATCTGAGCTCTTGATTACGGGCTAAATTAGATTCTATATGCCTCCAAGCGACGGTTGCCAAATAAACTACAGAGTAAAAGACAGAAAAGAAGAAAGAGAAACGGTGAAGGACAAATAAAAGAACATGGTAAAAAACAAACGGTGTCCGGGTACCACTGCCTTCAGCGTCGAAAAAGACCAGAGTGGATGAAGCGTACAGAAAAGCTCATGAATAACTCTTTCATGTACTTTATAAGAAATGATTACATTTCTCGAACTGAGTAACAGTAGATGTGTGTACTTAACATCAAGTATTTTTCCACAGCGCACACACACAGTTACAGCCAAACAAAGTGCCCTTTCATTTTCTTCAACTTCAGTCTTTTGAAGTTCTACATCTGTTTACAGAGAGTTTATTTAAAGCTGCATCTGTATGTGCCTTATGATAACCAGAGAGAGAAAATGGAAGAAAGAGACAGATATGTAGATTAGAGTTCGAAAAACACAGTCAAAAGCTACATTCTGTCAAAACAAAAATAAAATAAAATAAAAAATCTTCGTCTTTAAAAATTTAGGTCAAGCTAAAGTAAATTAGAAAGATTTTGCTGTGGATTCATATTTCACTTTCAGGATGTCTGGACTGAGCTGAAGGGCAACGTTTTAATTTACTGCTCAACAGAATAAAAACAAACTAAACTAAACAAAAGGAAAGTTACTTCTCTTTGCCTTTCAAGCACATTGCTTTCAAAGCAAGCCAAATGGCATAATTATTTTTAATTGGGTTGACTCTCCTTCTATATTGAACTGAAAGTAAAAAAAAAAAAAAAAGTAAAAGTCTTTAAAAAGGCATCCATTTGCTTGTCTGAATCTATTTGCCATTTTCACATTTCATAACAAAAGTAATACAGTGAATAAGTGTGATCCACTGATCTAAAAAAAACAAACAAACAATAACAACAACAAAAAAACACCTGAAAAAAGGACAATCATCTCCAAAATGAGCAAAGGTAATATTACACTTTATTTTGCATCCATGTCTACATTCAGTAGGAAAAAAGGTGCACCATTTCATTAAAAATTATAATTACGTTTATTGCTGCAAAAACAGAAAACAGCCAAATTGCCTGAGTTTTCAAAGCGAGCTTCTTAATATTACAGTTCTTCAGATTTTGTAAGTTGGTGTGTGTGTGTGTGTGTGTGTGTGTGTGTGCGTGCGTGCGTGCGTGCGCAGACGTATTTACATGCATATTATAGAGCCTGTTCTTCCACACATAATTTACAGTGCAGCAAGGTGGAATGCCATTCTGAGTGCTTGAGGCTACATATCTCTTATTCATAGAACAACAATAACAACACATCTAATACCAGAGTGCAGTCTGTTAAAAAAAAAAAAGAGAGAGAGCAAAAGGCAGGGAGAGAGGGAGCATCGGAGCAAGATCAAATGTATGAGGAAGAAAGAATGAATAAGAGAACAAGACAAGAATACGAGTTTTGGGGGGAGGTTGAAGTCCAAAGAACAGTCTCTGTTCTTTAACAGATGCAGAACAAATTGCGCTGAAACATCCACTTATATACTCAACACAGCACCAACCACAGGGGACACATGAGTCACTGATGGAACAGATGACACATTAATGATGAGTGTGCATGAATTTGAGAGTGGAGGTTACCATCAACCTTAAACCACACGAACCGATAAAGTGAGGTTGAATGGAAAGACAGCAGAGATGCTGGCGAGGCGGGCTTCTTCCACTGAGTGACATTATCAGAAAATAGATTGAAGCTGCTGTCTAGATATTGGCAGGCTAAAGGCTCTGTCCTTTAAAAAAAAAAAATCTGTCCAGAAGATCAGATGCATTTTAAGGACCAGATCAAATTGAACTGTGATGTACACTCACCCCATCCTCCAAGAGAATTTTTAACATTTTTTGAACAAAAGGGAACAGTTTTCACTTATCCATTTCTTTTTACTTTTATTTTAGTGTCATTTTAGTGAGAGGAAAATGTTAATACTTATTACCCACCATTCACACAGAAGCTGCCTGGTACCATCCACTCTCACACCTGCTTGCCAATGGACAAGCACCAGTACACACGACTACTACCCACCCAGAATAGTTTGGAGATTTGACACAAGAATTGGTAAGTTGTGTGTCCCATGTTTGCCTCTTTAATTCTTCAGTGACCACTGTTGGGACAATCACTAAGATGCAAGTCACTTTGTCTGATAGCTGACATCTCAAAGGCTACGTTCACACTGCAGGCGAAAGCGCATCAAATCCGATTTTTTTGACCCTATGCGACCCATATCCGATCATGGTATGACAGTGTGAACAGCACATATCCGATATTTTCAAATCCGATCTGGGTCACTTTCGTATGTGGTACTGAATCCGATACATATCCGATGTTTTAGAAAGCGACTGCTGTTTGAACGGTCATGTCGCATTAAATCCGTCTTTTACATCACTGACACAAGACAGACGCCAATTATCAGCGCTGGAGAAGCGCCGGAGAAGACATTGCGAACGCTTCCTGGCCATCCCGTGTAGATGTCAGTGAAACTGTTGGGAAGACAACGTTGGAGAAACGTGAACATTTTATTTGTACTGTATAATCTGCAGATTCTGACAGAAATCTGCAACTATCCTTTGAAGCACCGCTCCTCTAAAACAGCAATAAGGATAATTATTAGGTTATTTACATTATTATGTAAATAACAAAATAACTTAAAGCAAAAATTGGGAAACGTGAAGTCCGAAGTCTTTATATTAACGGCCATCTGTCAAACAATACTGTTTGCTCTGGGTCTAAACAGAGTTGTGTGTGACGTCTTCTTTTGCGCATGCGGGCCGCTTTGAGCGTTCACACTAGAGCGCGTTTGCTGTCGCATTTTATCTGTAGTGTGAACGAGCAGACAAAAAAATCGGATTTGATCAAAAAATCAGAATTGAGCATTAAGACCTGCAGTGTGAACGTAGCCAAAATTCCATCCATCCCTCCCTCCCTCCCTCCTGGGGGCAGGAGTCTAAGCAGAG